AACCCCACAACCCCACTGGCTGTCTTCTCTAAAAATAAAAGTATTAAAAGAAAGCTACCAATTTTAACCTATTGCTAACTAATTACTAAGCTTCTATGATGTGAATAATCTTCATTTTGCTGCAATATTTCTACGAAACTGGAATTATGTTTCGAATTCATTCGACTCAAATGATGGATACTTAAAAAACAAAAACAACAACAACACATAAACAAACAAACAAACAAACAAAAAACCCATCTGTACAAATGCATGGATGCAATACTATGACCCGTGTTCTATTTTAAATTATGAAAAGACCGCCCCTTGTTCAAAATCACGTTGAAAACTTAAATGTTTTTGGGTTTTTTAATGCTGATCGACATGGAACAATAAAAGAGTTAAAGATTGTTCTTCATTGTTTAACCAGCTTTCATTAAGAAATTAAATAGTACATTTTTGGGATTGTATCAGTAGCAGAAGTGTTTATGCTAACGGCCAACACGGCTTTACATTATAGGCTAGATGATGAGGTCTGCACGTAATTTGTACATGATAATTTCCCCGTAGTTTTCCAATATATTATCTGATATATATGGAATATTGCGGCAAACATTAAGGGTCTTCAGAGGGGTGGGCTGTGAAATTGGGGAGGGGGAGGGTTTAAGTCAGATCTATATGGAAAACGATCAGAGGGGAGTGGGGGAGGGGTTGCTTTAAAGCCCATATATCAAAAATAATTGTTCCACAATTTTCTCTTTTAGCAGTAATTTTAGGTGCGCGGTGGTTGGAAGGCGTGGACTTTTAGGCCTTATAACTTCTTTTCTGTCATTCTGTAGTGTCTGTTTATCCCCGTCCCCCGTATTAGATGGATGTTATTGTGTCGATATTTTTCCTCTTCACTCAAACAAACGAAACAATTTATAATTCAACTCGTGCAGTCTCTTTTCAATAAATTATAGGCCTAGCTTACGCTTAAAATGCATAGTATCGAAGTTTGCGATATCCAGACTGGTATCGACCCCTCCTCCTCCAGAATCCATCCGTATCCGCCACCAGGCCAGTTTCCTCCGGTTCGTGTTGGATCATCTCACCGAGTGCCGAGTGCCGTGTGTGTGTGGCGAGTGCACTGTGTGTGCACTGTACATTAATGTACAGAGTGCGGATTGGGGAACCGAACACGAATAGGAAGAAGGAACACGGTGCGAGTTAAAAAAATGGCTGACAATGCATCGCCGTGCTGAATTCCACGTATTCTGACGTCTGGATCTCTTGCTTCAGATCACCTAAACATGAATGTGATGAGCGGTTGTAAGGATAATGAAAAAAATTCTCATAAACATTCTCATGGTATGACTTTTGATTTTCTTTAGTGTACTGAATTGTGACTTGCCTCGTTTGTGTACTCACATCCTTCCTTACTTCTCCACACGAACGCCAGTCAGTGACTCGTCTTGGCTAACGGTGATCTGACAAGACTTTCTTTCCTTTCTTCATTTTGTTCAGTGAATAGCTTAGGCCTTGGCCTTGGGAATGTAAGTGCACCAGGGCTGCTTGTTTGTTGAAGGCAAGACAGTCCCTTACAAGTGGCCACTACAATCTATGCGCTCAGCAAGAAGTCTGGGCTATCTTGTAGAGTAATCGTACTGGGTCGGGCAGCCGGGGTTTTTTTAGCTGTCGGGAACTGGAGTACAAAAAAATCGTTAAAAACTTCGTTTTTAAATCTAGCCCTAAAAGAGTGTCACGAAAACCTAAAGCAACCTCCCTTACTTTCGTTGAAACAACAGTTACGGCGATATTTTGCTAAAAATAGTCCTTAAGACAGCTTTTCTTCAAGTGAGCAAAACAGCGTGAAGCTCTTTCCCCGGAAGAGTTAACCCTCGTCCTGCGGGAGCCGGGTTTATGTCGCCCGATAAGCCTATTTTGGCACCTCGCCTACGTTCTGGTCCCGAATCAGTGTAGCCCCTGGCTCAGCGCACGCGCACCGCACATCATCTTACATGAATTTCGGGTCCCGAGTCGGATCCCCATTCACGCAGGTCAAGTGTGTGTGCGTCAGTCTGCTTAGTTTGTGTGCGTTTGTGGCTTTCTTCTAGAACCGCCTGCATTGGTTCGTAATCGAGGCATCTTATTCAAAACACGCCAAGTTGGTAGCTCTAGATGTTCGTCCAACCAATGAAATTATAAGAAATTGACCCACTTGACTTAGACATGAGAAGCTCGAAAGGATAGTCAGGAAACAAGACTTCCATTTTTCTACAAAATCTTTCATTTTTATGAGCTTGATTTTGTATGAAATGATGCTAGATTTCTACCTGACAAAAAATAAGCTTGTTTGATAGTTTTGAAGGTATTTTTTTTAAGGCCGGCACTATTTCTCCGAACGTTCGGGAAAATAAAGCTGGGCACTATTTCTCCGAACGTTCGGGAAAATAAAGCTGGGCACTATTTCTCCGAACGTTCAGGAAAATAAAGCTGGGCACTATTTCTCCGAACACTCTGAAATATCATCCTTTCCCCCAAATTTCGGATATTATATAGAGATCTATAATTATAGTATGGGCCTACCAAAGATTGTTCGTATACAATATGGTTCAATCGGTCCAAAAATGTCCGCCGTAAATATTTATATAAAGAAATGCTACAATTCCAAACAGTTTTTCGCTATAGATATGACGTGTTGCCTATGAAAGGTGCTGCTTTTAAACGTAATGTGTTGTGTTCACTCGTGTGCTGTCTAGATCTAGATCTACGGAGGGTTATTGATAACGACACATAGAACTGGCATCTGCGTTTGTCACTGCTGCGACCAATGTACTGACACTGGCAAGCCCCTTAATGTGTGTGATTCCATAATTTACATGTAATATCCTGTACTTTTTTTAAAATTACGCACATTTAGGGTTAAAACTGCCAATCTTCTTCGGACAGGTGGACACACGCCCTTATTTGTTAATGTTTGTTTTTGTTTATGGGCTGTTCTAATTTTGATTTCTTTCTGTTGTGAAACCTTTCTTTTTCACGTTTTTACACTCCTCTAAAAATCTCATCTAGACTAGCTGTTGAAAATTGAAATAGATATAGACCCAAAAATTTGCTCCTGTGTGTGTGTGTGTGTGTGTGTGTGTGTGTGTGTGTGTGTGTGTGTGTGTATGTATGTGTGAGTGTTTGAGTGTGTCTGTGTGTGGTAGTAAGTGGAGAGTGAGGAGTGTGTGTGTGTGTTTGTTTGTTTTTCGGGCTTTATTTCAGCTTTTATTCAGTAACAGTTCAAAGTATACAAAAATAGAAACACAGGATCCATTCACTCCAGGACTCATGAGTCATTCGTCTCTTTCAGTTTCACTCTTTCATTCAATTCCCGTGTTCTCTCCCGCGGCTCATCCCCGTCCGCATGACTTTCATACCCCACCCCATCCCTCCAGGCACACACAAAGAAAATCTCACTTGTTCCCTGCGAACCATGGACAATAATATAGGCAAAACACCGCCTGAGCTGCCTTCCTTTTGTTCGTGAGCTGTGGACCAGGCCAGGGGTGGTCAGTGTCGTCGTCTTGTAGTTGCTGTCGCCTGTGGATACACTCGCACATTCTTCCTTTCACCCGCTCTTTCACTCACACTGTCTCTCCATCCACAGTTCAGCTCGTCATACGTTCAAAAGTTGCCCACTAGTTATGTTTAGTTAGTGTGTGTACATGTGCATGATGGTGGTGGGTGTGTGGTGGGTGTTACTGAAGGTTGTCTGTAGGCGGGCTTGCCATGCGGTACGTGTTCCTTCCCAGACCAGAGGCAGAATGAAAGTTGGCGCCGAACTCTCGCAATAAATAGGCAAAAAATCACGAGACCGGAAGCCGAAAACCGTTCGGAGAAATAAAGATCAGCACTATTTCTCCGAACGTTCGGAGAAATAGTCACTTACTATTACACCCGTCTCATGTACACGTTTGATATACTTTATTTCTAGTAGTATTTTGCATGCTGAACACGAATATAATGGCTAATGGCCTTCATTTTTGCCGCAAATCAATAGTTACTAAGTTATTGATGTTTGAAAACAGAACTAGATCTAGGACCAGTGGCGTAGTAATATTTGACTTACTTTTAACAACATGGGGGGTTTCAGGGGGGTATGCCTCCCTGACCAAAAAAGAAACTTGGGGGTCATGCCCCCCTCAATTTCATAAGGATTTGATGTTTTGGCAATTAGGATTGATATTTACATGAAAACAATTGATTTGCAAGGGTTTTAGTGGCCACACGTGTGTTCTGCAGCAAAAATTATGGCAGTTTAACCTTCATATCAGTGTATCTGTGTGGGTGTAAAAGTAAAAATTTACCGTTTTGAATACCATTGTGCAGGTACAAAGAACAATTTAAGTGCAAAACATTCAGAAATTGACCTATATAATCCCCTTTCGAACCTCAGGTCATTCATAACAACAAGAACGTCCAGAAAGGTTATATTCGAATGGGCGTAACTTCGTAATGCCAGCTTGGCTTGTGAGAGGGGGTTATTCATGTGTTTGTAACACTTTATAAGCTATGAAAGATAGAGCGTTATTTTCATCATCGATTAACACACTCCCACAGCATTCATGACGAAAACACACGTTTCCCGGCGCACGCGCTGTACACCAACAGTACACACTGAGTGACCCCGGCGGCCTGCCCGGCACGTCCGACGTAATCGGTTGCTGAAGATTCGCATCTCGGCACAGATGCAGGACAAGAGTTGACATTGGTTGTGGATGAAGGAGCCTGTGGCCTAGATTCTACATTTTGGTAAACTCTGAAAGCTGGAGAGTTTTTTTACATATGAGGCCCTATCAAGGATGAAAGAGAATTTGCAGTTCAGTCTCGCCGTTTTTGCGTAGTTTCTCATCCTTCTGGCACATAAGATAATATAGTGCCAATGGTTATATAATAAAGAATCAAGAATTTGCGCATTATTTAAATAATAGTAGAGTCAGGTACAGCATATTAGCTCAGTCAGACACCAGTGTAGTAGAGTCAGATACCAGTGTGTAATACAGTTGGATATCAGTGTAGCAAAGTCAGATACCATTGTAGTTGAGTGAGCCAGATGCCAGTGTAGTAGAGTCGGATACCACGTAGTAGTGGGTCAGATACATACTCATTAAAATAGCTATAAATGGTGAAAACCACTTTAGACAAACTATCATTGTGTCCAAGTGTAACAAGCATTACAAATCATGTTATTAATGCTTGCAAAGAAATGTGATAATAATTGAAAATGACCGAATGTTAAAATACTGCCCGAATCCGTGAGAAAACAAAAAATGACTGAACACGTAAATAAATCGGGCGTCACTTTTGCACCCAGTGAGGGCCTCAAATATGCGAACAAGCTGAAACAGGTCATTCCTGGGGTCATCCAATCACAGGGCTTCCTGTAGCTGGTTTCGGTTTGTCTCTAGGGCAAGGCAGATAGGAGATATAAGCTTTAAAGTCGACGTGCCTGTTTTCGTCCTTATTTTGACCGAACCGGTAATTTTACTCTAGTTTCGTTCGTTAAAGTCCACAATCCATTTGTTTACATCCAGAGAAGAAACCCAGAAGTCTTGATGACCAAATACTATTTGAATTAGGCTACACAAAGAGCAGGGATGCAACCTAACTGCAAAACATCAAATTAGGATAACATTCACACACACACACACACACATAAACACACACACACACACACACCCCAATTTGAAATAGGCTACATAAAGAGCAGGGATGCAACCTAACTGGCAAAACATTAAATTAGGATAACATTCACCCCCCCCCCCCCCCCCTCCATATTTTTATTAGGCTTGAAACCCCCCTACTTTTGACTTTAACGAACGAAACTACAAAATCGCCATCTAGGCTACTTTTAAAAAGCTTTAACTTTGTCTTTAATAGCAGTTGAATGCCAACGTTGGGCCAGCCTGCCTGCATGCCTCTTTCAAATGGAAATTTTGAATTTTTAACTCTTGTGGGTCGGTGGTTTGCTCCTTCTTTCCTCTATTAAACAACTATTGTCTTTATCTCTCCTCCTTTTTTAATGTTTGTTACTCTCTTGTAACACCTTTAATCTTCGGCGCTGAGATCTGGAATCTAGATCTATATATATATAGATCTAACCTTTTTGTGTTGCAAGTGCCATTTATAAAAGTATTACTAAAAAAACCCACACAATTTGTTCTCATGTCCTGTAAATTTAGATTGAACTTGAACTCGTCAACAGGACTTGTAGTAGGCCTAGACCTCTAGTTGTAGATTATAACACGATGAAGCTACTGTACAGCGAGCACCTAGCATACCTCTGTGATTGGCCCAAATATAGATCATGTATTTCCGCCATCTATTTTTGTCATCTTCCAGGGTTTCCCCCTAGACTTTTGGGTTTCCCTCGCCAGTAACTATTGATTTGAGCAGAAAAGATATATATATTGGGAGACGTCTTCGGCGAACACCCAGGAACTAGATCTATTCGGAGACGAACTCCCGCACACAGATGCACTGGTTTGGGGGGTCACACTGCATATTATTTGCTGCAGATCACACATATATAGCCACTAAAACTGTTGCAAGTCAATTATTTTCAAGAAAATGTAACTGCAAAATAAATTTGGGATAAAACAGGGGGCATGCCCCCCCTGTTACCCCCCAAATGTTTTTACTTGGTCTAGAGGCACCATGCATTTTGATTGGTCTTTTTCAGTTAGAGCTGGATAGATACTGAGGTTGACTTGATCTCGCCGTGTTTGGGTTTTTTTTGGTATTAATTTGTCTTTCATATAAACAATCTTAGCAATTCTCGTTCCATAAATTTCTTCTCCTCAAAGTTGTACACACAAGCGCGCGCATGCGCAGCCCAAGCAGTCGGCGATGAACCCTAGTGACATTGCCCATGACGTGGGCCCACCACAGTGAGATTTAGTCAACTGGTGAGGGAAGCCCTGGAAGACGACAAAAATAGATGGCGGAAATACGTCGTATATATTTGGGCCAATCACAGAGGGGTGCTAGGTGCTCGCTGTAGCTTCATGTGATTATAACTCTGTTATTCCTGGCCCTAGAGAGGCCTTTAACTTTAAATTATTTATCAAAACAAAGGAAATGTTGAGAAAAAGGAAGTTGCTATTTTCACCCCGGGTGAGAATAAAAATACAATTGTCCTCTCACCCCGCGTGAAACTTGCCAGCGTTGGCCGTTGGCTATTCTCATCTGGTATGAAACAAGACCTGTTTTTCCTAATTTCTGAATACTGTATCTGTGTGAATGATCAAATTGATAAAAACAAAGAAAAAAATGATGTTATAGCACAAAAAAGGTATACTAATTTGGTCGTCTACAAAGATGCTACGACTATTTAATTTTTCGAATCGAGCCGAACTATGCTGGTCACCATATGTGAGGCGTCGTGGTGAAATCAGGGGCTCGTCAAAATAATGAAATCAAAGAAATCTCCATTTTTCTGGCCGTTGGGGAATTTTTTTCTAATTTTCTTTTTTTGGTTCAAAGCCTTTTATAATGTCTATTTTAAAAAAAACATTTATGTATGGATTTTACTGAAAAACGTTGATTGCAGGCACGAAAAATGTAAATTTTCAGTTTCGCGGGACTCTCAAGCTATTGAAGAAGTTATCAAACTTTGGCGTCCGTTTTCTTATTAATTTTACCTCTGAAACCAGGCAACCCTCCCCTCCTTCAATCACAAATATCTCGACTTCTATTCAAAATAAATTTATATTTTTATCACCCAAAGCAAGACAAATTAACTGACTTTAAGGGTGTACCTATAACAGTAACTTCATATTCACAGAAATTGACAATTGCATGATTCTACAAAGTTGTGCCACATTTTGTTTTGCCCGTAAGTTCAGATCTCGCTCTTCCTTCTCTCTCTCTCTCTTTCTCCCTATCTATCTCTTTCTCCCTCCACCCCCACTCCGTCTCGCTACTCCTCTCTCTCACTCCATCTCGCTACTCCTTTCTCTCTCTCTCTCTCTCTCTCTCGCTCTCTCACTCACTGCTAGCAAACAAAATTGCATGCTTTCAACACAAGAGCGCTGGAACATTTGTTTAAACTAGTATCACAGTGAACGCACACCGTGTGAGAATAGCGAAAAGGCTCGACCTCTCACTCCGGGTGAGAATAGAGGTGGCCTTGAGAAAAAATGTAACAATGAGCAATGTATAAAAGATAACAATCATTGTGATAAAATTATGTATTATATGCAAATCAACCAATTTCTTTTTACTATAAAAAAAACGTATCACTGATAAAATTATGTTAATTATAGTGCAAATTAACCAGATTCTTTTTACTATAAAAAGGCGTATATATATATATACATATAATATCACTGTTATTAATGATAATAAATTCATGAATCCACTTATCTGAAGGATCAAAATGTAGAGATTTCCTACAGTCTACAGAAAGCATTCAAATATATAAAAGCTCTATTGATGTACGATTTTAAAGTTTAATGACTAATGTGTGGAAATAAGAAGCAAATTAAATTAACAGTGCCCTGTCTTTGGCTTTAACTTAACTTTAATTTACATGTCATGTATTCTATAATGTATAATATTGCAATAATCTTCAGTCTCTACTTTAGATTAGATCATGACACAATTGAGTTTTATTTCTCTTTTTAGGATTTTAGGCTACTGTGCTACATATCTCACGTGTGTAAGCGGGGGTGATTCTGTTGTGATCCAGAGATTTTGTTGTTGTAACACACAGCTGTTGTCAACTCAATCAAACCTTGACTTGACACTTACTGTACCGTACCCTCGGTGACTGTAGTCGCCAGGGCAAAGTATGCGCTCACTACTGCTAGCGACTTTAGTCGCCAATGCACCCAGGCACACTGAACATTATGATGATTAAATGACGAACAGAAGCACTGCTCTGAAGTAAATACCAAAGGATGCCACTCTATACAATAGCTGAATGGTTAATGAACTTCTATGAATTTTTAAAGCATGTTTCTTAGGCTGCCAGGGTTATTTTTAAAATTTTAAAATTCTACCACGGCTTCGGTGTTCTTGGTGTGGTGCTTGAGAGTTTTTCACTATGAGCTTTCAGTACTGTAAGTGTTATTTATTTACCAGTTCTCACTTTGATTGAAGAAAATAGCTTTCAAAGACAGCACACCTACCGTCAATGCTTGTTGTCCAACATCAAAGCAGAAACGCACTTCGATCAAACCCAGAACAAGAAAGATACAAAAGTAATAATGGAGAAAATATGAGAATTATCAACAAGGGTGTAAAAATCAGTAGGCCTAATTGTGGACCTGAAATAATGGAAAATACCAATGGACGCTGATACTCTAGTCAACAAGCAGTTTCAGGATTTCAGAATGATTGCCGTGAGCTGTGATCTGTGTTAAAAGAATTAGCCCAAACCGTATTCTAACGGAGCAATACCTGTAACTATAGATACATGACATAGAAAATAGCATGGTCAGCTTTGTGAATGGAGTGACACTGGGTGATTTATATAATAGCAACGAAGCTTAATTTTTTTGGTTTGTTTTACCCTTTCATTGCCAGGGGATATGTTCCTACTGTCAGCACTGATTTTCAGTTGAGCTCGTTACTCAGGACAGCAGTATAATTTAATGTCTCATTGTTAATGGTTGCGCTGTCTCGGTCTAGCACTCATGACATATTTTGGACACCGGGTTTTCGATTGTGTCACTTTTCTTATACCCCATTTCTTCTCATTTTACTCATAATTTAAAATAACCTACAAATCTAAGTTTTGAAAGTCATTTCGATGTTTACATATTACGAAAACATGCGGCCACCTGCAAGCCTAGATCTATGTTTATCGATCGATTGCAAGCCTAGCAGTAAAGAATACCAGCAAGTTTGGTAGCGATATATTTCCTGAAAATGATGTACACATTGCTTGTGGCTTAAACTCCATACAGAAGAATTAGAGCCAGGTTATATGCGTGACGTACATGTAACGTCACACAGGCAACCACGAGCGGCAAATTTTGCCAACTTCCGTGAAGTACGTGATTCGGCACAGCGCAAAAAATTATTTATTTTCATGATGTACCAGGCACGTCATAAGGCAAAGAGGGGGTTAAGTCAATGGCATTGTGGGATGTAGGAAAAAAACGTGCAGTCAAGACTAGTGGTCTTAAGATTTCACTTTCCATTGTGACATACATGGCATTGTAAAGCCAATTGCTTTACAATTTCCAATGGACTTGAATGAATGCATATTATAACCGGATTCATCTCTGCTCCCCACAGGCGCGGCCATCAGTTGTGTTAGCTGCCATCTTGGTGCTCTGCCTGAGCTCAGTGCTGGTGAGCTTCTACTACATTCACTTCGACTCTCCACGCTCACCCTTCGATGTCATGAGGGAAAATGGCCACATGAAACTGGCTGGCAGAGTCATTGGAGATGACAGAGGGGGGGCATTGCTGGCCTACCACCATGGCTCAGAACAGAATCCATCTCAGGTGAAAACAAAACTTGATAAATTGTGCCTATTGTGCCCATGAGCTTGGATGTTGCATGAATGACCACAGTGTCAGTATTGATATAAAGTGCCTTGGGTTCTGTACTGTTAGGGAGTGGCCACTTTAGAATTCTACTTATTATTATTATTAGTAGTAGTAGTATTATCATGATCATCATTATTATTTTGCCCAATTTAATTATAGGAAAATTATGTAGCCATTTTCCCAGCTTTTATTATGTAGTTTGGGCCCAAAAAAAAGAAAAGATTGGTTTGGATTAATTTTTAATTTCATCAATTAAATTAGTCTTCCTTTTTTAGTTTCCCCAAGTAATGGTCATTTTGAAGAGTATGAAGATTACAAAGGGGAAATTGAAAATGGCATCATGAAACAGTTTTCCTTTTTCTTGGAATTTCACTTTTGGTGAAAAAAAAGGAACTTTTTTTTTTCATGTCTTTTTGGTTTGGTATCAATCATTTTTGAGCTTTTTAATGAGCAATGACTCACTCAACTGTTAAAAAAGAAAACGAAGTAGAATGTATGGCCATCTTGCATTCCTTTTGTGAAAGATTGTATAACAAAGAAGGGATGCTACTCATTTATCGGTAAATGATAGAATATAATAGAGTTTGTTTCCCTTGGCCTTCTTAAGGGCTTGTAATTGGGAGACACTTGCAGTGCATAAAAGGAATTTTTAGTTCTTTTCTTCAGTGCTTTCTTTTCTTACAGTTATGAGTGTGTTAATGGTAACATATTTTTCTCCTTTTAATTAATAAGGTTCGAGTGTCTGTACACTTTGTCCAACTGAACAAATCAAAAACACTCTCTGATATTTTTTTTTTTATAGCATGGACTGTTTGACAATTTTAATAGTTCGCTTACTTTACAGTCTTGTGTTATTTTTTATTTTTATTTTTTTGTTTAGGCTTGTCTTGGGTTTCTGAAGCAGTCGAACCTGCTCTTATCACTACCTGTTCAAGACAAACACCTTTACAAAGGACCACTTTCCTCACTTTCAGTGAATTTCATGCAACAAACACATTTCCCTAGCCTTTTCTGAAGGGATACGAACCCTTTCATGCATCAAATCACCAGACGGTCCTGGTCGCTGAGACTTTAATCATCGTCATCATTGCCTTTCTCACCCTGCACCAGCGTATTGGCCATGCACAAACACTTTCCGCCTTTCTCTATCCTGGACTAGTCTCTTGATGTTATTCCTCGTTTTCCCACTTTTCTGTACGCCGATTTCTGTTGTCGAATCAGCTGGTAGAAAAATTGGGTCACCGACTTGTAAATACAGAAAATCAATCAAAGCTCAGGCTGTATAATTCACCAAAAACGAAAGTTGAACAGGACGCTTCCGTGGTTTTATTGCATTAAATTCCCTTGGCTTAAAAGTTCGGATTCTCGAGATAATGAAAGAAAACATGTCAAAATGTGTAACGAGGCTGTGGGTAGAAACATGTCAAAATGTGTAACGAGGCTGTGGGTGTTGTTGTGGCTGAAGCGGTCATACCGGAACAACGCTGATATCGTTGCATTTTGCCATGAAGAGTTGAGATGACACAGCCCAAGGGGACCACCAGTATAAGAGTATCAGTTTTGTCCTTGATGAAAGGTGGTTGTCTTGGACAGGTTTGACTGTACTTTGGCCCTGATGTTGTAACGACTGTTTTGTTGTCATGTTGATGTCACACTGATTGAGTTTTGGTGGAGGGAAGTGTTTGTTTGAGTTGTTCAACACAGCTCTTTCAGGGGTAGACATTTCTGCTGTGTTCAACACAGCTCTTTCAGGGGTAGACATTTCTCCTGTGTTCAACACAGCTCTTTCAGGGGGTAGACATTTCTGCTGTGTTCAACACAGCTCTTTCAGGGGGTAGACATTTCTGCTGTGTTCAACAGAACTCTTTCAGGGGTAGACATTTCTCCTGTGTTCAACGCAGCTCTTTCAGGGGTAGACATTTCTGCTGTGTTCAACACAACTCTTTCAGGGGTAGACATTTCTGCTGTGTTCAACACAACTCTTTCAAGGGGTAGACATTTCTGCTTTATGTTTGTTGAATTTTTTTGTCATAGCATAGATTGTACAGTGCATTTAGTATGATTTAGGTTGCTGTTGAGCTGCTGTATATAAATGCTATTTATTATATTATTATTATAACCTGACAGATGTAATGGGGAAGTAATATTGTATGGGCTTGCTATACACATATTCAGTCAAAGGCTTGGGACACCCTCCAGGGCAGTGCTACTGACTGAAGTGTCTTTAGGCCATTCCCAAAAGGGGGATATTAACATGTTTTTTATGCACAGTAGAATTGTAAATAGACTGATTTATCAATGTCATGCTCATACTGTGCTGGAACAACATGGGGAACTGCTGCTTTTTCTTTCCTCATACTTACTATCGTCATTTTTCCTCTACTTCTTTTGTATATTTGTCACTTTCTTTTGAACTGCTATTTCCGGGGTGCCTTGATAATCGAAGCAGACTTTGTGCTGTTGAGGCTAGAGAGGTGAGCAGAGTAAGTCTGATTCCCTGTAAGGACTTCTCTGTTGACATCCCGTTGCAAGCGCAGAAAAACCCTCTACCCTATAATATAATATATAATCTGTTGACATCCACCCCTTGGCGTTCATATGACTTTATGCAGATGCGAGCGTTGTAAACCCTCTACTAAAACAAAAGGACTCAAACTCAAATTAACCAGGGGCTGCTGGGGATATGGTCTGTAAGAGCCCGGGCCGCGTCAAGCAGTTCTACCAGAAAAAAAGCTACCTGTTTTTATATATTAAGATAAGGAAAGTACAACTGATCTAATCTTTTCAGTCTATATAATAGTCTAGCAGTTGAAAACATGAAAAGCTGTTCAGAATTTTGGCTCCTCTTACGTACTCCTAACTGTGAGGGATCTGGCGGCGCTTCCTCTTACATAGCAAGCCACATTTGGCACAAGGGAAGGCTGCTCGAACATTAAAAACTTTGATGTCTAGAAGGGGTTGCAAAATATCATCCTATGGGCCTCAGTTGACCCGCGGGCTGCTAGTTTTTGGAAACCCTGCTCCAAGGTTTCTTACTTGATATGTTTTTCCCCTCATCTGCCTTTTTTTTTTCACTTTTCTCTCGTCTAAACAGTACCTAGTACCATGTGGTAATCTTGTTCTAGAAATTACCCTCTATTGATCCACGCTGGGAAAAGAAGGTTACAATGGTACGCATACAAATATAAAAACATAATGAGGTACACAAATACATACAAAGAAGCAAACACACAGTATCACACCAGTGTGGAACAATTTTACAAACATGCGACTGCTGATCGCAGCTGTTCTGCACCTTTTTTTTTCTAGCTAGGGTTATCGTGCCTTGCTCATGGGCACACCCCAGTGACCTCCCATCTGAACCCTGTGTCATTGACACTTACTTGATGTCATTTTTGAGTCTGAACTCCCTGCTCACTCTGCCTCTGGAGCCCCCTTCTGGCATGAAGTCATTAGTTCAGTAATGTTGTTGTTTTCAAATCCCTTTAGCTGCGAGCAAGTAACCACATGTCCTTGTCATCTGGTCAACGCCAGAGTAGAGCAGGCTTTGTAAGTCTGTAGGTGTGTGTAGGAGCCTGCGTTGAAGAACTGCCAGGTTTGGGCAGTGAAGGAGAAGATGTTCAACGGTCTCCTCGTGGTAGTCACAGTGTCTGCAATGGGGTTCCCAAACGGGGTTGATTCTGTTTATGTAGTTCAGTAATAGTATACCATATCTGTTTTTAAAAAAATAAATAAATAAAAAAAAAAAAAAAAAAAAAATATATATATATATATATATTTAAATTTTTTATATTTTTTTAAACACATATATACGGATGCCAGCACGAGGTTAAATGATCAGTTATTACCTTCTTTTGATGGAGGTTTAATTTCGTTATTTCTGGTCATTTGTTTCCCCTCAGGCTGTTCAAGTTGTTGAGCGAGGACCACCAGTGCTCAACGATATCGACATCGCTTTCCACATTGAGAAAAAGAAAGCCAGGCAGCAACAGCAGCAGCAGCAACAACAGCAGCAACACACCAAAGGGAAGCACAAAAGTTTGCTGAAAGAGAACATGTGGCCCAGTCATGAAAAGGTTCACAAACAGCGCAAGGCCATCGTTCCCTTAGCCATGCAGATCTACAACAACCCGCAGCGCGAGAGGACAGACTGGAACGGAGAACGCTACATTGTGTATCTGTGTCACAGCAACCTGACCTGTGCTGGCTGGGGAGACAGACAACACGGTATCTTCTCCGCCTACCTGCTCTCTCTGGTGACCAACAGGACCTTCAAGGTGGAGATGGACGGCCCTTGCCCCCTGTACAAGCTGTACCACCATCGGATACTCAACTGGAGGGTCAACTCTACAGAGCTCCACGGCTTGTCCAGTACTCATTTGTACGCGTTGAATGACAGGAAGTTCCGAGAGTCGATGAAAGTCATTAATTTCAATGAGATTTATCCTCAGGACGTTGTGTATCTCACAACTAACTATGATTACTTTTATAATCTGAAGGCAAATCCACTTTATCGAAGTATTTTTAAACAGAAGGTGAAAGGTAGACCAAGGCCAATCTTGTTTGCAGACTTGTGGCAGACCATATTTAAGATGAACAAAAGAGTGGTTAGGAAATATAGCACAGCTCTCAATAATGCCTGGCCAACTAAGAAACACAAACTGGTGTGTGCTCATATCAGGTTTGGCCGCAATCCCACAATCCCAACAGATGGCGATATACGCAATACTCTGTCAACCATCAAACCCTTGTGGAAATATTTGGAGAGGTACTCGAACCCAGACAGATACAGACTCTTTGTCGCCAGCGACTGGCAGGGCTTTCGGGACAAAGTCATAAGTATGTATCCAAATGTCTCTCTCAATATTGAAGGGAAGATTATTCACATTGATAAATGGAAGGATCGTTCCAAGAGAGAAAACACGACTGACAGTGGCCCCCCTGACACATGCGCAGGCTTTGAGAAAGTCATCGCCGATCAGCATGTTTTGAGTAAGTGTGATATCCTCTTACTGACCTACAGTGTTTTTGGTAAGGCTGCTGCATACCTGAGGCGATCGAACCATGATTTATTCTTGATGGAGAATGGTACCATTAAACCTTTGAAGCTTTTTGATGACAATAAATTCAAAAGTTTGCGTCATTGATGAGGTGGACATAACATTGGTAGTGACAGCAATCGTGTGAATGCTGGAACACCTTTTGTCTTATATTTGCATTTTCTAATCGCAGGTTGGTGCTATTTGTTTTCCATTATTTTTTGTTTTTCTTGTACATAAATCTTTACCAGAAATATGTGGATATTGTAAAGAATGCAGTTTCGGATAATTTGAAGTTGGGTTGTTTTTTTCATTGATAATTAATCAGTGGATAGTGAACATTTCATGACATACTGGGGCTCATTTGATGATTTGAAATTTAGTGGAAAATAATTGATGAACAGCTTCAATTGCTTTTTGTGCATTTAGTTGTAGTAAAACATTTGAAAATAAATACAATTTCTCGCCTTCCTTTCTGCATTAGGCTGAATCTGAGGAGAGCTTTGCAATGGCCAATTTGTCTTTTGTATTGTTTAAACGTTTAGAAAAACTTGAATATAAAAAAATCATAATTTTCTTTTCGTAAATAACTTTTGGACTTGATCTCTTTTCTTGAAAGTGAAACGTTACTGAAGATATTATAATTTGTTCCCATACATAAGGAGGAAAAGTTGGGACCCTGCTGTATACTTTTATGTAATGATTTTTAAAGAACATTTAATCACCTCAATGCAACCTTAAGGGCTTACACCCAATTATGCCTTCAATTTTTCAAAAACAAAGCTCATGGCTTCTTGTTATCATCTGTATTAAACTTATTTTGTCTTTCACTACAGATTTTGGAAAAACCATGTTGTGTTTCCTTGTGAATTATGTAAACCTATGTGTTTTATACTCTCTTTTATTCTGAAGCAACAGTGTTTTCTTATTATGCTGTCACATATAATAATGTGCGCTCATGTTATGTATTTTTATCTCAAATGTTTGATTTCCATTTGTTTTTCGCTTTCCCAAGTCACAAATTTTGTGGTTTATTATCATTGAATTGTAGATGCATGTATTTACTTGTATTGGTCGATTTTGTTGAACACCTCCAACATTTTTTTATCTTGTCGTGAGGACAGGGTGAAACTCCATTTGTTTTTGTTTTTTTGTGGCGGGGGGTGGGAGGAAAAGTGGGTGGCCAGCCGTGTCAGTTTCCCTTTGGCTTTCCCATGTTTGAGAACAAGTACACATAGGTGAACAAGATAGGCTGCTAGGCAGTAGGAGAGAGATTGCGCTGAATCTGTGTGAGAGAAAGGATCTGTCTGTTCTATGTTTCTTTGGGAAAATTTTTAATGATGATATTGTCTGTCAGTTTTTGCCAGCATTTTCCTGCTCCCTCCATCTGTTGTATTGGTACAACACAAACTGTTAAAAAGACTTCAGTTGCAGCCTGGCATATGGCAGTATAAATATTCACCAGGTGCAAAGGAAACATTGAAAGTTGCGTTTAAATAATATTTAAGTTTTTACTGAATTGTTTGTTTTTTTCTAATGGCTTTGATTCCGTTCCATTCTTCAACACCCCCCCCCCATTCTATTTCTTTTTATTAATGTTGTCTTCAAATGGCTAGATTGAAAAGGCTTGTTTAACAGAATGGTGTGCAAGCTAATGAGACTGTGATAATTAGATTCTATTAAATGAGTAATTTTCTTAGCATAACAGAGGGTCAAAACCTGTAAACGAATTTGAAAGTCTGAAAGTGATAACCCTGGCAAACAATCAAACTCATTCCACTGAAACTGTGCCATGACGGGAGCTGAGAGTCCTGTGTAAACTAATAGGCACTTTGCATGGAAACATGATGTGTGTTTGTCAGACTGCTCAAACATGAGATAGTTCACATTGCTTTGCTCTCTGCTCACTACTTATTTTGTAGTATTACATTTGAATGATGGTGCCAAAAAAAAAAGAAAGAAAGAATGCTGCGGATATAATCCTTTTGTGGTTCACTTTGTGTTAAAAAATGTTTTGTACTTGGTTTGGTATACGGAGACTGCCCTTGAAAAAAAAGGCAACTTTGAGATATGAATATTCATGTCAGTAAAATTAAAATTCTGAGGTGGAATATTATTTCAAGTTTGGGGAACTTGTTCGTGAGTTGAAAACTTTTCTGCTCCTCTTCCAGTTCTAATTTTTAAAATTCTCTTGAAATTATAATAATTGCTTTCTTACTTCTTTACCTAAGCTGTTTGTAAAAAAAAAAAAGGTGCTGAACATTATCATACCTAAGTCACTCTCCCAAATTCTATTTGTCAAGTATAAGTAGTGACAAATAAGTCAGTGGTATAGCACTGTTATCTGCAGAGGTTAGAACAAAAGTTTGTTGGGTACTGAAGCTTGTGTAAGTAGTGTAACCTGGTCAGCATTCATATTCTGAGACCTCAATCCGAAAGGAATGAGACGTATGGCATTATTGTTTAGTGTTACTTCTCTTACTCTTATCAACAATTGTTTTCCAGACTTGTTTCATTTTTTGCGTTTAGTCGCAGTTTCTGTTTCTCAACTTACCCTGAAGTTGTCGATCTTTCGTTGCCAAAAGAGAGCTAACTGTTACGAACAACCGTCTGACAATTTTTCCCTCCGATAATGGTTCTGTTGTTTTCATTTCTTTGTATAGGATTTTGGAGGTTGTGTTCTGAAGGGTGATTCAAAGCCCCTGAAAAAAAGTTTTCTACTGGTGCTGTGTCTTGCCTCAAGGTGAAATAAGGCCTGTGAGAGTCAATGTATGTGTGTGAACTGTCACAGTTCAGATTTGTTGTGAAGGTGCAGGAGAGCACAAGCCAACAAGTGTGATTGTACGGTATGGGAATTGTTCCCCGATATATCCCTGGTATATCCGTGTAATGTAAGTTCTCCGATACATCAGGGTTAGCTCTTGGCTGGGAACATATGTCATCCTCGCTGGTTCCTGACTTGGAAGTGGGCCGCAGCCTGTTGTGCTGTCTTCAGGACTTGTCGCAAAATTGTGCTCATGTTTTCCCCACTGTTTATATAGTTTGGGATAAGAAGTCCGAAAGGAGAAATGAAGCTTTTTTAAAAGCTCAAAATGTGGCCTCCATTACTCTGCCAGAATTTGTTTCATCTTAGGCATCTTCAGACATTGATGGATTAATTATTATTATGTAGTTTGGGATAAGGAAGTAGATTGGATACGATTAATTTTGCATTAATGTCTCAAATCTGTTCGCATAACAGTCATTATAAGACTGTCGTTGGGTCATTTCTCTAAAAAGATGACTGTATAGTGTGAGGTCTTTTTCTCTTCTGCCTCATGTGATTGTGGGGACCAGATGCTCTGGCCATAAGAAGGGACAAAGTGTGTCTTGAAGTTTGGTTTACCCCACCGTTTGAAGAAAGAAAATTCTTTTGTATTTTTCAATAAATCATAAATAAATGCTTTTAATCAATATTTGTAGATATCTGAGACAACTCAGCCAGTTTTAAACCCTGAGTATTTTCCACCGTTCCACGGTCATTTAAACCTGGTGCATTACGTCTCATTATAACCCCAAAAGCTTGCCTCCAACTTCTAAATTGCGGACACGGAGGCTTAGTCATTACTATAAACACTTGGATGGGGAATAGCTCCAAAAACGAGCAAATACTAGCACTGAATGAAACGAAACAGTCCTCTCTACCTAGCGTCCAATGGGGAACAGGGTTATTGCCGCTGGATGCAGCATCCAATGGAGAGTCCAAAGGGGTTTAAAGAGTGAATAGTAAAAAGCTTGCTTAGACAAATGGAAAAATTTGAACTCTACTCCCATATTATGGTCATTTGGGTATGTGAAGCTCTCTTATGTTGAGTGTTGCCATGAAGTCTCCCTTTCTCAAAATTAGCACCAGCTTTGTTGGTTTTCAAATTTACTCCTTCATGACTTTATAATGTTTACATTCTTAGAATGGGTGTTCGAATGAATATAAAGAAGATTCTGAGTGAGTCTCCTCAAGTGCTGATTTTTCAAGACTTATTTATAGTGGTTGTTTTTTAATTCCTCGGAAGTATGTGTCAATTTCGTTTTAATGGCTTGTGATTCTTTTTGTAAGGACTGGGTGGAGAGGTTAACACTGAGATAACCGTGTCAAATCATCTTTACGCCTTGTGGGGCAATGCCATAACATTTGAACTGTGGCTAATAATACTTTTTATCAGTGCAATGGCACAACTTTGGTTTTGACAGAACAACTTTGTGTTAATTTTTAAGTTATGCTGTTCATTTTTTATTTAAATTTTAATTATTTTCTACATTTCCAAGTTGCCATGTTTATGTCCAAGTGAATGATGAATCGTAAGGTGCAAAACGATAAAAGTGGTATATAACAATATGTGTGTGCTGATTATTTGGTAAACATAAAATATAAAATGTTGGTAGATCTAGTTTGAATTTGAAAAAAATCACATGAAACTTTTCCGTAATTTTTCTTGCAGTTCAAATGAGACAAAGCTCAACTTTTGTTATCTGGTTTTGTCTCCACCATTTACATTTTTTAAACAAAGGGGGAATGATGTGTCTTTGATTGGCTTGATTTTAAGGGTTCAGTTTGTGTGTGCACTCAATTATTTAATAATCTAGACTTTATGTTTACTGAAGGGTTTTGTACAGGCAAAGCTTTACGACGTATTGCAAGTTTAGTATCTGAAGGGAGAACAGCAGATTTTGAAAGAAATTCTCTTTTGGGAAAACATTTCTTGGTGCTCATCACTTTATTGCATTTTGTTCTTAGAATGATCAAACTTTTGTGAAGAGAACAGTCCTGCCGAAAACTGATAATTTTTGTGTGGATTATTTCTTCTTTTTTTTTTTTTTTTTTTTTTTATGTCCATAAAAACGTCCCCCTGATCACACGTGTTTCAGAAACTTCCTTTTTGGAAGATTTGAACATATGAAAATAATTTTTTATCGCCATCATCACTGTTGCTTTGATTTCATCTCATTACTTTACCATAATTTTTTTTTTTGGGGGGGGGGGGGGGGGTTTGTAGGTTTAAGTCATCTTAAGGTTAAACACTATGCCCCCATGGGACACCGATCGGCGACAGTGTGATACAGCATGTATCGCATCTGTGTCCTGTAAAGTTACCTGGCGGTCCGATGAGTCGGGTCTGTCAGGGGGCCCCCCCGTCTAAGATAAGTGTTGCCTCGTCGTGCCACTCCCCTAATTTTCTTGTCCCCACAGTAAAGATAAGAGTCATGTCCCTTGACATCGCAGTGTCCTGGTCCTGGGATAAGTGTTGTGCGCTCTCTGCCCGCTGCGTGGGTGGAAAGTGTTAAGATTTTTATTAAAAGATGTATTGTTTATTATGCTTAGCTTTCAAGAAAAAATTATCTCATCACATTTCTGTTTTGTGGTATTTACTTTTTAGATGAGCACACAACATGTCAGGTGTTGTATTCTTTGTCGACAGACACACACACACACACTTAGTGACGAGCTTCACAACATTTCTGTGTTCTTCCCAGGAAATTGAGAATGTTTCTGAGTGTTCTTGGGTCTGCTTGAGTTATAGTTGTAATATACCAACTGCTCTGTGTGAGACTGTCATAGGTCACTTTTCATACCAGCGTATGGCTGGGTCTTACACTAAGCAGTCAATATGTTATATCGTAAAGGGCGTAGAGTTTGCCAGTGAGCGGGAATTAGGGCTGGGCAATAAGTCGCTTTAGCAAAATCCGGATAATATGTTAGTGCACCTCTTTGGCAAATAATATGATGTAAACCGCTACGGCAAATGGGTTAGAACCACTTCGACAAAAGGGTTAGCACTACTTCAACAAATGGGTGCACCCACTTTGGCAAACAGGTCAGGAAAGAGAGTTAAGAGTCTGAATTCGGATAATGTTTCATTGAGAATAATCCGGTTATCCTTTATATTATCCGGATTTTGCCCACCTCTAGCGGGGATGTACGCTGTACAGATGGTCTTGGTTATTGATACTATTTCGGGCATTATTCTCTTTGTCAGCAGACGTGTCTACACTGTCGGTGTATTCATCTAGGGTTAATGCCAGAAAAGTTGTGCGGCAGTTTGTAGCGTGTTTTAATAGAATTAGATGCTTAGAACTCCCAAACACCTTGTCTTGTAGGTGATTGGTGGGTGTTCTAGTGTGGTTTGCTCCTTCTTTCCTATCAAACATCTATTGTCCTTCATTTCTACTCCTTTTCTTTGAATGTTACTCTCCAGAAATACCTCTAATCTTCTGCACTTATAAACGACCTAATTATGTTACTAGAGTCGTAAAACTTTTACTTAAACTTTACTAAACTTTATCGGCTCTAAAAGCTGACTTTCAAGTTCATAGATTTTGATGTATCTATATATAGATGTTCCCTCGTTAATTTTCCCTTTCCTTTAGATGTTTTCACAATGGATTTTGACACGATCTGCAGATTTTTCTGAGTCACAGACTTCTGTTTGAAAACTTGATCTGGAGCTGAAGTCAGAAATGAGCATTCCACAGGGGATAGTCTTGGTTTTTTAAAACTGTTCTTTGGTAGTTCTAGCAGATGTCACTAATCTAAGTTGCCAGCAGTAAACACTCATTAATATTATTATAATTATGTGGAAAAATTACTATGTGTATTGTTTAAAATGTGTATCACCATCTATGTGGTATCTATGTTCTACTACTTTTGCCATTACAATTTTTTTTTAAACATGTTTTGTCATTCAAGAATTGTATTGGATGCTGTCTGTAGTTTGACAATTGTTTTTATTTATCAACTATGGAACCTACAATATTTTGTTGCTTTTTTTTCCATCCAAAACTTAAATAACCATGACTGTTTACACTATTACACTCTTACCCCCCTCTGGGTGTCTGTAGGAGAGGGATCTGCTGAGTCTTGACAGGTCCTATGTTGTTTCCTTCAGCACTATAGAATGTACACAGGTGTCTGTAGTGTAGTGAATAGGCACTTGACTGTCACACCAGACTGTCACACCAGAGAGTTTGATTCCTGGGTGGGGAGCATTTTTGTCAAGTACCTCTGTCTCTCTGCTGGAATGTTGTATCCCTATCAGCCTGGGTTGGCCCTAACACTAACAGACAGGGTCGGAAGCCTGCCTCCTAAATGATCTGGAATATGTGGATGTGGGAATAAAAACAACTATCGGTACATTTAAAAAAAGAAAAAGAATTAAGGCCTACCGCAAGGTGATGGTACTGATGAGTTGGTTTGTCACAATAATTGAATAATAGTATATGGTATTTGTTTAGGTTTCGAACACAAGTTTTAAAAATACAGGCTTTTTGTGTTTTACAAGCACAATAGCAGGACGTAAACAGTATGTTGTGTTCTGACTAAAAATATAGGT